CTGTTAGATTCCCGTTGTGCTGTGACATCACCCTTATACGCTGTGTAAAGCATACTTTTAATTTATTTTGCAAATGCTGCATCCTTTCCGACTTGTTGTAATTTGGTAACATTTCAGCCACTTTCTGCTTATACCGGGGGTCTAGTAGCGTGGACACCCAGTACAGGTCGTTCTCCTTCAGCCTTTTTATACGAGGGTCCCTCAACAGGCACGACAGCATGAAAGACCCCATTTGTACAAGGTTGGATGCCGAGCTACTCATGTCCTGTTCCTCGTCCTCAGTGATCTCACTGAAGGTATGTTCTTCCCCCCAGCCACATACAACACCACGGGTACCAGATAGGTGACAACGAGCACCCTGGGATGCCTGTTGTGGTTGGTCTTCCTCCTCCTCCTCAAAGCCACATTCCTCTTCTGACTCCTCTTCCTCACAATCCTCTTCCAGAGTTGCCGCAGGTCCAGCAAGCGATGCTGATAAGGCTGGTTCTGGTGGTGATGGTGACCACAACTCTTCCTCTTCCTCTTCACGCTCATCTACGGCCTGATCCAGCACTCTTTGCAGGGCACGCTCCAGGAAGAAAACAAATGGTATGATGTCACTGATGGTGCCTTCGGTGCAACTGACTAGGTTTGTCACCTCCTCAAAAGGACGCATGAGCCTACAGGCATTGCGCATGAGCGTCCAGTAACGTGGCAAAAAAAATCCCAGCTCCCCAGAGGCTGTCCTAGCACCCCGGTCATACAAATATTCATTAACAGCTTTTTCTTGTTGGAGCAGGCGGTCGAACATTAGGAATGTTGAATTCCAACGTGTCGGGCTGTCGCAAATCAAGCACCTCACTGGCATGTTTTTTCGCCGCTGGATATCTGAAAAGTGCGCCATGGTCATGTAGGAACACCTGAAATGGCCACACACCTTCCTGGCCTGCTTCAGGACGTCCTGTAAGCCTGTGTACTTATGCACAAAGCGTTGTACGATCAGATTACACACATGTGCCATGCACGGCACATGTGTCAACTTGCCCAGCTTCAATGCCGCCAACAAATTTGTTCCGTTGTCACAAACCACTTTGCCGATCTCCAGTTGCTGTGCGTTCAGGGTGGACAGGAGTGCTTGTCCGGTGTGACTCTCTGCTTTCAAGCAAGTCAAACCCAAGATGGCGTGACACTGCCGTATCCGGGATGTAGAATAGTACCTGGGGAGCTGGGGGGGTGCCGTTGATGTGGAGCAAGACGCAGCAGCAGGATGGAGTAGGAGGAGTAGAGGAGGTGGCAGCAGGCCTGCCTGCAAGTCGTGGCTGTGTCACCAACTCCTCTGCAGAGCCACGTATTCCATGCTTGGCAGCCGTCAGCAGGTTTACCCAATGCGCAGTGTAGGTGATATACCTGCCTTGAACATGCTTTGCAGACCAGGTATCAGTGGTCAGAGGGACCCTTGCCCCAACACTGTGTGCCAGACATGCCATTACTTTCTTTTGCACAATCGAGTACAGGTTGGGGATTGCCTTTTGTGAAAATAAATTTCGTCCGGGTACTTTCCACTGCAGTGTTCCAATAGCTACAAATGTTTTGAATGCCTCAGACTCCACCAGCTTGTATAGTAAAAGCTGGCAGGCTAATTGTGACGAGGCCAATCTCGCCACATTGCATTGGAGAAGCCTGGTTGCTCGCCTGCTGCCTTTGGACTATGGCCCCCTTTTAAAAGACTTTATTTTTCCATGCAGAAAAGCTGTATTCGTGCTTTTCTGCCAGTTGTTCGGTAGTTTCAAACTACCGAACAACCGTACGAATGACTGGACCACCTGGGAGCTGGAGTGTGCCGGCAATTAACCTCCCTGAAGCTGCGGTTAACCGCAGCTTAATTGATGGACGCTGGGTGGCCGCCGTTCGTATCCCGAACACGAGGTCGCGGCCATTTTAAACCATACGAATGAACAGCGGTGTTCGCCTCTATTTTCATGGAACTAAAATCGGACACAGTTTTGCACGAACACCGCTGAAGCCGCCGACCTCCCTTCTTGTTCGGTGAAAGCACACGAATGACCCGGTGTTCGGTATTATTGTGTGAATGTCTTATACCCCAGATAGGAATCCCATGGAGCCCATTCGTATGAAACTGACTGTAAAGACTTTGGCTCCATGGCGATTGAACTGTATTCGTGTGGTCTGAGTGCCATTCACCTAATAATGTGCACTCAGACCTGAGCTATCTGGGGATAGGTTACATGTCTGTGTTTTATGTAGTAAATGTTACTTTGTGCATTTTAAAGTATTATGCTGGTTTTGTGTTCCCACGTGTGTAATGGAGTTTTGCCTTTGTCTTGGGAGATAATTGAGTTACTTCCCAATTATCTCCCAGGGCAGAGGGGAGGAAGCCAGGATGCATTGTGGAAATATACTGTGACTGTGTGTCCTATTTGTATACTTGTCTGTCCCTTGTCACAGTCTCCCATTTGGTCCCCTAGGGGAGTGTCCACCAGGTTGGAGACCTGCATAAAAGCTGGGCAGGTAGCCCTCATTAAACAGACCACTGCTTGACCCTCAACACGGAGCCTTGTCTCGTTCTTGGGGGGATTCACTGTATGCTGTTAGAGACTGATTACCAGGAGTGTAAGCTGTTCGTCTGCTTTTCCTGTTCGTCTGCTAGCAGCTATTTGGGAGGTTCCAGTTCGGGAGTTGGAGTGCTATTTTGTATCCAGTTCGTGAGTTTTGGTGTTCTGCAGTAGCTGTGCCTGGATCTCTGGAAAGGGGGCCGATCGCCTAAACGGTTTTTACCCCTTGTGTGCAAAACGGTCCGTTACACTAATAGTACAGACAAGCCAGCTGTCAGACGCCGGGCAAGGGGGTGACTTTCTGACATTGGCTTCTTACTCTCAAACATGTCCTTGACAGACACCTGACTGTGGGCAGATGAGCAGGAACTGCTCAAGGCGAGAGACGGAGTGGCGGATGGTTGAGAGGGGGCAAGGAGGACAGCAGTGGTTGACGTGGCTGAAGATGCTGACCAGGAGGAGGATGGTGGCTTTGAGTTTGTGTGCTGCTTGTACTCATGTGTTGATCCCATAGGCGTTTGTGATGTGCGATCATGTGCCTACGCAAAGCAGTTGTACCTAGGTGGGTGTTGGACTTCCCACGACTCAGTTTCTTTTGGCACAGGTTGCAAATGGCATCACTGTTGTCAGAGGCAGACACACACAAAAAATGCCACACTGCTGAGCTCTGCAATGACGGCATTCTGGTGGTGGACACAGCATGCGTTGATTGGCGTGCTGTCGCGCTGACCCCGGGTGCCGATGCGTGCTGTCTGACTGTGCCACTAGCTCCTTGCGACGACCTCCCCTGCTTCCAACTTGTCTCCTCCTCCTCTCTGTCTCCCCATCTGAACTTTCGCCCTGTTCTTCTTCTTGCCGAGCGGGTACCCACGTGACATCCATGGACGCATCGTCATCATCAACCGCTTCACTTGTATCTGACAACTCAGCAAAGGAAGCTGCAGCGGGTACAACATCATCATCATCACACCGTACATGTGTAATGCTGCCTGATTGAGACATATCCCTGTTATCTACATCCTGTCAATAATGGTTGCGCATCACTCATTTCTTCAAACGGATGTGTAATTAACTCCTCTGACATACCAAGTGAAGCGGCTGTGGTGCTAGTGGTGGTGGTGGCGGCAGGCGGGTGAGTGGTATCTTGAGAGGTGCCCGAAGCTAAGCTGGAGGAGAATGTTGCGTCAAGGTTCCGAGCGGAAGCTGTAGAAGATTGTGTGTCCTGTGTTAGCCAGTCAACTATGTCCTCAGAACTTTTCAAGTTCAGGGTACCTGGCCTCTGAAAACTGGGCATTATTCTAGGGCAAAAGGGAATCACAGCACCACGACCACGATGGCCCCTGCGGGGTGGCCTGCCTCTGCCTGTCATTTTTTTTTCGATTGCTATGCGTGCAAGCTACTGTGACACCAGATATGAGTGGCACTGTGAACTGGCAGAGGTTGGCAGAGTACACGCTGTAGGCCTGACACACCTGCTTGAAGACAACTAACTGCTATTCAATCTATAACAGTGAAAAACGTTTTTTGTTTTTAAATGCACGCTATTGTGACACCAGATAAGAGTGGCACTTTGAACTGGCAAAGGTTGGCAGAGTACACGTTGTAGGCCTGACACACAGCTGCTTGGAGACAACTAACTGCTATTCAATCTATAACAGTGAAAGAAGTTTTTTGTTTTTTCAATGCACGCCATTGTGACACCAGATATGAGTGGCACTTTGAACTGGCAAAGGTTGGCAGAGTACACATTGTAGGCCTGACACACCTGCTTGAAGACAACTAACTGCTATTCAATCTATAACAGTGAAAAAAGTTTTTGGTTTTTAAATGCAAGCTATTGTGACACCAGATATGAGTGGCACTGTGAACTGGCAGCGTACACGCTGTAGGCCTGACACACCCGCTTGAAGACAACTAACTGCTATTCAATCTATAACAGTGAAAAAAGTTTTTTGTTTTTAAATGCAAGCTATTGTGACACCAGATATGAGTGGCACTGTGAATTGGCAGAGTACACGTTGTAGGCCTGACACACAGACACTTGGAGACAACTAACTGCTATTCAATCTATAACAGTGAAAAAAGTCTTTTTGTTTTTAAATGCACGCTATTGTGACACCAGATAAGAGTGGCACTTTGAACTGGCAAAGGTTGGCAGAGTACACGTTGTAGGCCTGACACACAGACGCTTGGAGACAACTAACTGCTATTCAATCTATAACAGTGAAAAAAGTTTTTTGGTTTTTAAATGCATGCTATTGTGACACCAGATAAGAGAGGCACTTTGAACTGGCAAAGGTTGGAAGAGTACACGTTGCAGGCCTGACACACAGACGCTTGGAGACAACTAACTGCTATTCAATCTATAACAGTGAAAAAAGTTTTTGAGTTTTTAAATGCACGCTATTGTGACACCAGATAAGAGTGGCACTTTGAACTGTCAAAGGTTGGCAGAGTACATGTTGTAGGCCTGACACACAGACGCTTGGAGACAACTAAATGCTATTCAATCTATAACAGTGAAAAAAGTTTTTGGGTTTTTAAATGCACGCTATTGTGACACCAGATATGAGTGGCACTTTGAACTGGCAAAGGTTGGCAGAGTACACGTTGTAGGCCTGACACACAGACGCTTGGAGACAACTAACTGCTATTCAATCTATAACAGTGAAAAAAGTTTTTTGTTTTTAAATGCAAGCTATTGTGACACCAAATATGAGTGGCACTGTGAACTGGCAGAGTACACGCTGTAGGGCTGACACACCCGCTTTGAGACAACTAACTGCTATTCAATCTATAACAGTGAAAAAGTTTTTTGTTTTTAAATGCAAGCTATTGTGACACCAGTGAGTGAGTGGTGGCACTGGGCACAGTATCCACTGTGAGCCTGACACACCCGCTTTGAGACAACTAACTGCTATTCAATCTATAACAGTGAAAAAAGTTTTGGGGTTTTTAAATGCACGCTATTGTGACACCAGATATGAGCGGCACTTTGAACTGACAAAGGTTGGCAGAGTACACGTTGTAGGCCTGACACACCCGCTTGAAGACAACTAACTGCTATTCAATCTATAACAGTGAAAAAGTTTTTTTTGTTTTAAATGCACGCTATTGTGACACCAGATATGAGTGGCAATGTGCACTGGCAAAGGTTGGCAGAGAACACGTTGTAGGCCTGACACACCCGCTTGAAGACAACTAACTGCTATTCAATCTATAACAGTGAAAAAAGTTTTGGGGTTTTTAAATGCACACTATTGTGACACCACATAAGAGTGGCACTTTGAACTGGCAAAGGTTGGCAGAGTACACGTTGTAGGCCTGACACACAGACACTTGGAGACAACTAACTGCTATTCAATCTATAACAGTGAAAAAAGTTTTTGGGTTTTTAAATGCACGCTATTGTGACACCAGTGAGTGAGTGGTGGCACTGGGCAAGTGGGCACAGTATACGCTGCGAGCCTGACACACAGACGCTTGCAGACAACTAACTGCTATTCAATCTATTACAGTGAAAACAATTTTTTGGTTTTTAAATACACGCTATTGTGACACCAGATATGAGTGGCACTTTGAACTGGCAAAGGTTGGCAGAGTACACGTTGTAGGCCTGACACACCCGATTGAAGACAACTAACTGCTATTCAAACTATAACAGTGAAAAAAGTTTTTGTTTTTAAATGCAAGCTATTGTGACAACTGATATGAGTGGCACTGTGAACTGGCAGAGTACACGCTGTAGGCCATACACACCCGCTTGAAGACAACTAACTGCTATTCAATCTATAACAGTGAAAAACGTTTTTGGCTTTTTAAATGCAAGCTATTGTGACAACATATAAGAGTGGCACTTTGAACTGGCAAAGGTTGGCAGAGTACACGTTGTAGGCCTGACACTGGGCAAGTGGGCACAGTATACGCTGTGAGCCTGACACACAGACGTTTGCAGACAACTAACTGCTATTCAATCTATTACAGTGAAATACATTTTTTTTTAAATGCAAGCTATTGTGACACCAGTGAGTGAGTGGTGGCACTGGGCAAGTGGGCACAGGATCCACTGTGAGCCTGACACAGAAGCTGGCAGACAACTAACTGCTATTCAATCTATAATAGTGAAAAAAGTTTTTTGTTTTTAAATGCAAGCTATTGTGACACCAGATATGAGTGGCACTGTGAACTGGCAGAGTACACGCTGTAGGCCATACACACCCGCTTGAAGACAACTAACTGCTATTCAATCTATAACAGTGAAAAACGTTTTTGGCTTTTTAAATGCAAGCTATTGTGACAACATATAAGAGTGGCACTTTGAACTGGCAAAGGTTGGCAGAGTACACGTTGTAGGCCTGACACTGGGCAAGTGGGCACAGTATACGCTGTGAGCCTGACACACAGACGTTTGCAGACAACTAACTGCTATTCAATCTATTACAGTGAAATACATTTTTTTTTTAAATGCAAGCTATTGTGACACCAGTGAGTGAGTGGTGGCACTGGGCACAGTATCCACTGTGAGCCTGACACACCCGCTTTGAGAAAACTAACTGCTATTCAATCTATAACAGTGAAAAAAGTTTTTTGTTTTTAAATGCAAGTTATTGTGACACCAGTGAGTGAGTGGTGGCACTGGGCACAGTATCCACTGTGAGCCTGACACAGAAGCCGGCAGACAACTAACTGCTATTCAATCTATTATAGTGAAAAAATATATATTTTTTTAAATGCAAGCTATTGTGACACCAGTGAGTGAGTGGTGGCACTGG